GGAGACTCTCAAAAATTTTCTTTTTTTTTTTTTTTTTGCTGCTATCTGTGGGGTTCTAAATGGCAGTAGTGACTATGTGCATTATTTTTACACTCACTCTGTGCCCTGGCACCGTCTGTCTGAAGACTCAGGAAGTTTATTCTGTAACCATAAGGACAAAAGATTTAATGTGTTGTAATTTGAAAGCCTATAGTCTGCAGAAAACTATGACTTAAGTCTTCTCCATCAGCAGGGAAAAGCTTACAGCCACCTCTTGGAGTGAATTATTTGAGCCCTGCTACTTGCCATTCCCTACTGAAATAGTTGGCAAAGCTGGAGCTTTTGGAAACATAAGAACATAAGGAGTGCCGTACTGAGTTAGGCCAGTGGTCCATCTAGTTCAGGCTCCTTCCTTGACGCCCTAGTTATTAACCTTTGATCTGCACTTCTGTTTCTGTTTTATTGTCCTTTGTCTCAAAAATTAATTTGTTATACATATAGTGGCGTCCCCCCAACCATTGAAGGAGTAGTGTAGCCTCTGGTTGGCTTGGGTCCACTGCCAACATACAACCAACAGATCTGTCTCTGACAGTAGCTGTAGTAGATGCTCTGAAGGGGGAGTATATGAACAGGGCATGTCTAGAGTGATCCATCCCTTGTCGCACCCTGTCTGACCTCCACTGTCATTGGTTCAAGGATGTCAGAGGGTACATCTCTGACTTTTGTTTACTAACTATTAATAGACCTGTCTTCCATAAATTTGTCTAATCCCCTTTTGACCTTGGCTTTCTTATCTGTCTCTACAATGTCCGGTGGCAGCAAGTTTCACAAGTTTAGTTAGAAGCTGATAAATAGAAAAACTTCCTCCTGTTTGTGTTAAACTTGTCTCCTGTTAATTTCAGCGGGTGTCCCTTAGTTCTTGTATTCTGGGACTTTGTGAACAACAGTTCCCTGTTCACTTTGTCCACATCCTGCATGATTTGATGGATTTCTATCACATATCCCCTCAGTCCTCTTTCCAAACTGAAGAGGCTGTTGCTCTAAGGGCAGTGAGCTGAGTGAGGGTTGCATCAACTGATGACAAAGACAATAAAGTTTTCAGTGAAGGATGGATTGCCTGAATATTTAATTACATCTGTTAGATTTATTTGTTTCTAAAGTATTTGATTCTAAGTGCACTCAAGTCCCTAAATTAGATTTGTAGCATAATCTTTGCATCTTTTGTGTAGCCTTATCCTGTTAACACTACCTCTGTTTCTGTTTTTTCAAGTCAACGTTGGGGAAGATTGCCCCGTGTTTGATGGATTGTTTGAGTTTTGTCAGCTGTCTGCAGGGGGATCTGTTGGTAAGCTCAAGAATCATCTGTTTTTGTTTTAGGAGGATGTATATAATATGTAACTTAGGGGGATGCATATATAATATGCAACTAAAAAAAACCAACCTTTCAGTTTCCTTAGAATAATTAGGCTGATACTTTATGATCATTGCCTAGCCTGAGGCATTTGAATTGGGTTAGTGATTTGTTAGTGATTGAGAATACTTTCATATCCATGGATAAGGTCCAACACACATGGTTAAGTATATGATCCATAATCCAAGGGTCACTTCAGTGGAAATGCTGGAGAATCTCTGTGCATAGAATCATAGCGCTGAGAGTGACATCCTTTCCATAAAGCTGGGACTTTTTATAAAGATACCTTGTTTTAGTTTGAGTTAAAAAAAAAAGGAAAAAAAAAAAAGAAAAAAGCATTTTCAGTACTGTATTACTGAGAAGCTATTTTACTATACAGTTTCCTAAACTTTCTGGATGCCATCCTCACACCATCTCTCGTTCCTTAGAGTCTCAGAACAGCAGAGACTCCCTATGCCTGAAGAAGGGTGACTGCGCCTGAAAGCTTGCTAAGAACTTTTTTCCAACTACTCAGTTGATCCAATAAAAGATATCACATCTACTCAGAGAACTTTGCCTGCCTATATCTTCACACCGTAGACTTCTAGGAATTCTTATTTCCTGTGTTAAAAAAAATATATATATATGTTTTTTTTGTATCTGCTTCTGTGTGTGACACTTCTGAAGTGCCTATCCCAATCCTACCAAAAGATTAATTTCTGCCGATCCTTAGAGCCATGAAAAGTTCCTTGGAGTCAGGGGAAGTGTGGGAGGCAGAAATCTCTTTGCTTGTATTCAAAAGATCACAAATCGAGATGTGTTAGAGAGAACCTTTGATTACTGGTTCTTTTTAGAAACCAGTAAATCCGGACTGTGCTTGAACTGTGAACTGGGTTAACAAGGTCTAGAGAACTTTGGGTCTGCTTTCAAACCAAGCCCTGTTTATACTAGGAATTACAAGTGAGAGAGGTGCAGATCTTATGCTTCATAAATGAAAGCATGGTCTGAAAATCTGGACCCTTCCCAGTGCCTCTACAGCACATTGTAATCTCTCTTTTGCAGAGAAAATAATTAGCCTTCAGCTTTGGTTTTCCTGTTTCCCATTGATCTGTAGGATAAAAGTGGTGTTTAAACCTCCTAAGTGTTTCAACTAGATGTTACAATAACATAGGCATGCAGACCCATGATCAAGAAGGGCCTGTTGCCTCTGTTCTCAACAGTCTTCGTTGTCCTTCATGCTAATGTTTTGCACTTTTTCCTACAGCCAGTGCTGTGAAGCTGAACAAACAACAAACAGATATTGCTGTGAATTGGGCAGGAGGCCTTCACCATGCTAAGAAATCAGAGGCTTCTGGTTTCTGTTATGTCAACGATATAGTCTTAGCCATCTTGGAACTGCTAAAGTATGTGTGATACTTCTTATCCCTTCTGTCTGTCTGTTCTGCTGCGGTTTCTTTGGGCTTTAGCATTTTTTTTTCCACTTGGCTCATTTCTGTTTCCTTGTTAGCTGTGTATATTCTGGGAAGGGCTTATTCAGGTGTCTTCAGAGACGTGATGTCTTCTTTTCAGCCAGAGTCATCATAATTATGGTATTATGCAGTAGGGAAGAGTCCTGGGCCACTCTGATATTGCTATTGGGTGCTTCTTTTCCACAAAAGTGGCACTCCTGTAATTTGTGTCCTCTTTGTTACAACTGACACCTTCTGGCTCCAAACAGCTCTAAAAAAGAGGCTTGGATGTGAAACACAGTCCATTGGTTGAGTCTGAGTAAATGGAGTTGACTTCAGACATCAGTTGCCGCAGCAAAAGGCACTTTCTGGGGTTTTTTTGGTTCTGTTCTGCTGTCATTTGGTTCAAGGTGCTTCTTCAAGCTCCAGATCTCTTGCTTTGAGACTCCAGAGAGACAGCAAGCTGGCATTGGTACGGCCTGGGGATTAGCACCAAGTTTGTTTGCTATCCCCTGATTTTGCTCTGTTGGTGAAGGCTGTTTCTATTTGGAAGAAATACAGCTTTTTTGATTCCCTTCTGATCCTAGGTACCACCAGAGAGTGCTGTATATTGACATTGATATTCACCATGGAGATGGTGTGGAGGAGGCCTTTTATACCACAGATCGTGTCATGACCGTGTCCTTCCATAAATATGGAGAATACTTCCCAGGAACAGGGGACCTACGGGTGAGAATTAATGCTTTGCAGAAGCTTCCCTGGAATTTGAGCTGTGTTATCTATTCACTAATTTCACTAAAAACACTATTTTCCTTGTTTGCTTTTTAAATATGTTGTCCCCAGATGGCAGCTTATGTTAACTGGAAATATGTATGTGAGACAACTGGCTTTGTTCTTAGAAGGGATGCTTTGTCCCTACGATCATTTCTGTTGCCTAGTTAGCTGTGTATCACATTGTCTTTGTGACTGATTATGCAGTAATGGTGCTCAGGTAGCAGTTATGCTACAGCTTTGTAGTTTGATTATGCTCAGAAAAGAGACTCTGAGCATGGTATCTTGGTGTCCCTACTTTTTTTCTTTTCTCTTCCTATAGACCCAGAGTGACATGCAGGGCATCTAGCATCTTGTGTGTGTCTCCTGTCACAGCAGGATGCTTTTGCTGTGGCTTCCTGAAATTGAACTTCTCATGACATCAAAGTGCATTCAGTAGAGGGTCCTTGCTTGTGGACCCTCTAAGAATTTGCCATAATCTAGTAATTGGGTCCCAATGTAAGGCTTATCTACTTGGACTCCTTTTTTTTTTTTTTTTAATTAACCCTTCAGTAAAACCTAAGGTCTGTATAACTTGCGCATCAAACTCATTGACTCCTAGTTGAATATTTGACTTAATGCTAAGGCATTGGGCATCAGCTGTATAATAGAATACCAAGATGCTGTGTTACTGCCTTTCCTGATTGTAGTCTCATGTTGCTTTCCATGGTAAGATTAATGAACTGAGTGTTGTGGGCCAAATGCATCCATTTAAGCCAGGACTGCATCTTTGTTGCAATCAGCAGACCCCATCCTCTTACGCTAAGACGGAATTTGTCACCAAGTGTCTTGGCTTGGATTCTGAAAACCCTGGTGGACTCTCCAACTTCCCTTTTTCAAGTTGGCATATGGTGTGTGTATTGGGGTTTGGTCTCTGGTGACACTTTGATCTTTCCTATTGTTCACTCTATTAGGATATTGGTGCAGGCAAAGGCAAATATTATGCTGTCAACTATCCCCTCCGGGACGGGATTGACGATGAGTCCTACGAGGCAATATTCAAGCCGGTAAGCCTCTTTCCAGAGTAAAGTTTCTGTGGGATGGTGCTTTGTAATGTCACATATTGATGACAAGGGGAGACCGTTCCGTACTGTAAGAGTCTTTAGAGTTCTATTTTTGCCAAGTGGTTGTGGTCATTCATGAGCAGAGTTTTATCTGAAAGACCCCTGATGTTGCCTGCATGGGGTGGAGACTGACAGCTTCTAAAATGCTGGAGATATCTCCATAGCAGCAGCTGACATGGTTTTTGTGTTGCTGTGACATTGTCTCATGGGAGGGTGTAACAATGGATTTCTTGTCCAGGTGATATCTAAAGTGATGGAGACGTTCCAGCCCAGTGCAGTTGCCCTGCAGTGTGGATCAGATTCTCTGTCAGGGGACAGGTTGGGCTGTTTTAATCTGACCATCAAAGGTAAGATACTCTGTTTCTAAAACTGATCTTAAGGAAAGGTCAGACATGTAAAGTACAGTATCTGCTGGCACTTGCATGACTGATATAATCGGACTACATTGGAAAGCTTGCTGTCCCTTGCCTCATGAGGCTATTTCCTGTTCCATATGCTGCAGGTCATGCCAAGTGTGTGGAGTTTGTAAAGAGTTTTAATTTGCCCATGCTGATGTTAGGAGGAGGTGGCTACACAATCCGCAATGTGGCTAGATGCTGGACCTATGAGACGGCCGTAGCTTTGGACACTGAAATTCCAAATGGTAAGGCTGGTGATGTCTTGTAGCAGAGATCAGGGAAACTCGATTGCTATGAGCAGGTGTGGGAGATCTGTAAAACAGCCCAAGACATTTCACTAGCTGCAAAATTCTGCTGTGGACATCTTTTCTGACTCTGAACTGCTGCTGCTTGTTTACATGTTCTATTCTAGTTCTCCCCTACAGAACAAAATACCCAGTGCTATGTCACTGAAATGAGTGGGTCTTCCACTGAAATCTGTTGTGAGCACTTCACAGAGTTTGGTCCCACTGTTCCCAAAGTTGTATATTTTAAGCATCACAGTTCCTCCCAAAGCAAGTGTTTTGTTTTGTTTTTTGGGGGGGTTGGTTTTTTTTTTTCTATTGCCTACAAGTGCAAGTGGGGTTTGGATAGTTCCTGGACCTGTATTGAAATATCAATGTATCTCCTGGTTTTAATCCCTATACAGAGCTTCCGTATAATGACTATTTTGAATACTTTGGACCAGACTTTAAACTCCACATCAGTCCTTCAAATATGACCAATCAGAACACCAATGAGTATCTTGAGAAGATTAAGTAAGTGCTTGTATCTGCAAGCTGCATCGATTCCATTACACTCAGGGCTTGTTTCTGTGAGCGACTGTTCTTACGCAGGCTGTTCTTGTCTGCTCTGGTTGTAGGCAGCGTCTCTTTGAGAACTTACGCATGCTTCCTCATGCCCCTGGTGTCCAGATGCAGCCAATTCCTGAGGATGCTGTTCAGGAAGATAGTGGAGATGAAGATGAAGAAGATCCTGACAAACGCATTTCAAGTAGGTGTCTGCCTGTAGGTATGAGTTGGCTTGTCTGATTGTAAATCAGGCTGCTGTAAACTGAACGGGATTATAGTTTCATACCTTCTAGGGTCGGAAGGGACCTGAGCAGATCATCTAGTCTGACCCCCTGCCATGGCAGGAAAGAGTACTGGGGTCAAATGACCCCAGTAAGGTGGTCATCCAACCTCCTCTTAAAAACCCCCACGGTGGGAGCCTGCACCACCTCACTTGGAAGCTGGTTCCAGACCCTAGCCGCCCTGACCGTGAAGTAGCGCCTCCTGATGTCCAACTTAAACCTTCCCTCCGCCAGCTTGTGACCGTTGTTCCTGGTCACTCCTTGCGGCGCTCGGGGGAACAGGGACTCCCCCAG